GTATTTGGTAGCATTGCCTTTAAATTGTTTAACTTGGGTCAAACATTTCGGGTAGCCTTCCACAAGCTTCCCACAATAAGTTGGGTGAATTTTGGCCTATTCCTCCTGATAGAGCTGGTGTAACTGAGTCAGGTTTGTAGGCCTCCTTGCTCACATACGCTTTTTCAGTTCTGCCCACAAATGTTCTATAGGATTGAGGTCAGGGCTTTGTGATGGCCACTCCAATACCTTGACTTTGTTGTCCTTAAGCCATTTTGCCACAACTTTGGAAGTATGCTTGGGGTCATTGTCCATTTGGAAGACCCATTTGCGACCAAGCTTTAACTTCCTGACTGATGTCTTGAGATTGAGATTGAGATTGAGATTGAGCTTCAATATATCCACATAATCTTCCTTCCTCATGATGCCATCTATTTTGTGAAGTGCACCAGTCCCTCCTACAGCAAAGCACCCCACAGCATGATGCCGTCACCCCCGTGCTTCACAGTTGGGATGGTGGTCTTCGGCTTGCAAGCCCCCCTTTTTCTTCCAAAGATAACGATGGTCATTGTGGCCAAACAGTTCTATTTTTGTTTCATCAGACCAGAGGACATTTCTCCAAAAGGTACAATCTTTGTCCCCATGTGCAGTTGCAAACCGTAGTCTGGCTTTTTTATGGCGGTTTTGGAGCAGTGGCTTCTTCCTTGCTGAGTGGCCTTTCAGGTTATGTCGATATAGGACTTGTTTTACTGTGGATATAGATACTTTTGTACCTGTTTCCTCCAGCATCTTCACAAGGTCCTTTGCTGTTGTTCTGGGATTGATTTGCACTTTTCGCACCAAAGTACATTCATCTCTAGGAGACAGAACGCATCTCCTTCCTGAGCGGTATGACGGCTGCGTGGTCCCATGGTGTTTATACTTGTGTACTATTGTTTGTACAGATGAACGTTGTACCTTCAGGCGTTTGGAAATTGCTCCCAAGGATGAACCAGACTTGTGGAGGTCTACCATTTTTTTTCTGAGGTCTTGGCTGATTTCTTTTGATTTTCCTATGATGTCAAGCAAAGAGGCACTGAGTTTGAAGGTGTTCCTTGAAATACATACAAACTTCTGACCCACTGGAATTGTGATACAGTGAATTATAAGTGAAATAATCTGTCTGTAAACAATTGCTGGAAAAATTACTTGTGTCATGCAGAAAGTAGATGTCCTAACCGACTTGCCAAAACTATAGTTTGTTAACAAGAAATTTGTGGAGTCGTTGAAAAACGAGTTTTAATGACTCCAACCTAAGTGTATGTAAACTTCCGACTTCAACTGTATATCAACACTGATCAATTTAAAGAACAACGTAACTGGTTGACATTACCAGTAGTTTGTCAAGCAATAAAAACACTGACAATAAATAACTGTTAGAGGATATATCTAAATCATGAGCAATACTAGATAGTCACTAAACTGCAATTGGTTGCGTTGCAAAACTGCATTAAAGGGAAGCGGTCACAGCCCACATTGTGTAAAGACCGCACAGTCGTCAGTTTATAAATGTGGCCTGCCAGTAAGAAGACTCCCAAATAATTTTTTATATGATGAATCTACTGATGAACATCCATGGCTTACATAAACTGCCTCCCACAATGTGCTCAGGCAACTCCCCCTAATGCCTGGATATTGCAGTGTGACGTTTTCCTATGTTTTTTTCCAGTTACAACCTCTGGCTGACACATACGATGTCATCATCATCATCGTTTCATCATCCTTTCCCACCACACCTTGTGGTTTTGGGCCATCAGGGTTGTGTTCAGAAAGGTGAAATGTTCAGAATGTTGCATATAAACATGTATCTAATAAAGTTATATAGAGACCTGAATAGGGGCCTTGGTTCAAATAGTGTTTGTATTCTTTCTGAAAAAGTTTAGTTGCTCTTAATTGAGCAACGTACAGTGAAATGCCTTTCTTGCAAACTCAAAACCCAACCATGCAATAATCAATAACAATGTATTACTAGAAAAAAACACACGGGGAATAAGAATAAGAAATATGAAATACACAATAAAGTACAGTGCATTCGGAAAGTATTCAGACCCCTTGACTTTTTCCACATTTTGTTACGTTACAGCCTTATTCTAAAATGTATTAAATAAATAAAAATCCTCATCATTCTACACACAATACCCCATAATGACAAAGTGAAAACAGGTTTTTAGATTTTTTTGCAAATGTATAAAAAAACAAAAAACATAAATACCTTATTTCCATAAGTATTCAGACCCTTTGCTAAGAGACTCGAAATTGAGCTCAGGTGCATCCTGTTTCCATTGATCATCCTTGAGATGTTTCTACAACTTTATTTGAGTCCACCTGTGGTAAATTAAATTGATTGGACATGATTTGTAAAGGCACACACCTGTCTATATAAGATCCCACAGTTGACAGTGCATGTCAGAGCAAAAACCAAGCCATGAGGTTGAAGGAATTGTCCGTAGAGCTCCGAGACAGGATTGTGTCGAGGCACAGATCTGGGGAAGGGTACCAAAACATTTCTGCAGCATTGAAGGTCCCCAAGAACACAGTGGCCTTCATCATTCTTAAATGGAAGAAGTTTGGAACCAACAAGACTCTTCCTAGAGCTGGCCGCCCGGCCAAACTGAGCAATCGGCGGAAAAGGGCCTTGGTCAGGGAGGTGAACAAGAACCCGATTGTCACTCTGACAGAGCTCCAGTGTTCCTCTGTGGAGATGGATAAACTTCCAGAAGGACAACCATCTATGCAGCACTCCACCAATCAGGCCTTTATGGTTGAATTGCCAGACGGAAGCCACTCCTCAGTAAAAGGCATGTGACAGTCCGCTTGGAGTTTGCCAAAAGGCACATAAAGACTCTCAGACCATGAGAAACAAGATTCTCTAATCTGATGAAACCAAGATTGAACTCTTTGGCCTGAATGCCAAGCGTCTAGTCTGGAGGAAACCTTGCACCATCCCTATGGTGAAGCATGGTGGTGGCAGCATCATGCTGTGGGGATGTTTTTCAGCGGCAGGGACTGGAAGGGACTGGGAGACTAGTCAGGCTTGTTTTAAGTCTTTAGTGATTTGGACACCAAGGAACTTGGAGCTGCCTACCTGCTCCACTGCCTCCCCGTTGATGTGCTCCCCCCCTGTTTCCTGTAGTCCACGATCAGCTCCTTGGTCTTGCTGATGTTGAGGGAGAGGTCGTTCCTCCGGCACCACACTGCCAGGTCACTGACCTCCCCCCTGTAGGCTGACTCATCATCATCAGTGATCAGGCCTACCACTGTCATGTCGTCAGCGAACTTGATAATGGTGTTGGAGTCGTGCGTGGCCACACAGTCATGGGTGAACAGGGAGTACAAGAGGGGACTAAGCACACAAACATGTGGGGCCCCTATGTTAAGGGTCAGCATGGTGGAGGTGATGTTGCCTACACCTACCCAGGTAATCTTCATAGACAAACAAAGCAGTAGAATGGCCTTACTGAAGAGCTCAGTGACTTTCAACGTTGCACTGTCATAGGATGCCACCTTTCCAACAAGTCAGTTCGTCAAATTTCTGCCCTGTTAGAGCTGCCTCGGTCAACTGTAAGTGCTGTTATTGTGAAGTGGAGACGTATAGGAGTATCAATGGCTCAGCCGCGAAGTGGTAGGCCACACAAGCTCACAGAACGGGACCGCAGAGTGCTGAAGCGCATTGCGCGTAAAAATTATCTGTCCTCGGTTGCAACACTCACTACAGAGTTCCAAACTGCCTCTGGAAGCAACGTCAGCACAATAGCTGTTCTTCGGGAGCTTCATGAAATAGGTTTCCATGGCCGAGCAGCCGCACACAAGCCTAAGATCATCATGCGCAATGCCAAGCATCGGCTGGACTGGTGTAAAGCTCGCCACCATTGGAGTATGGAGCAGTGGAAACGCGTTCTCTGGGGTGATGAATCACGCTTCTCCATCTGGCAGTCCGACGGACGAATCTCAGTTTGACGGATGCCAGGAGAACGCTACCTACCCAAATGCATAGTAGCAAATGTCAAGTTTGGTGGAGGAGAAATAATGGTCTGGGGCTGTTTTTCATGGTTCGGGCTAGGCCCCTTAGTTCCATTGAAGGGAAATCTTAACACTACAGCATACAATGACATTCTAGACGATTCTGTGCTTCCAACTTTGTGGCAACAGTTTGGGGAAGGCCCATTCCTGTTTCAGCATGACAATGCCCCCGTGCACAAAGCGAGGTCCATACAGAAATGGTTTGTCGAGATCGTTGTGGAAGAACTTGACTGGCCTGCACAGAGCCCTGACCTCAACTCCATCGAACACCTTTGGGATGAATTGGAACGCTGAATGCGAGCCAGGCAGGTGTCCACATACTTTTGGTCATGTAGTGTATAATATGTCTTGGAGGTGCTCAGAAATACTTGTAGTATGTTTCCTATGGCTCTGAGGCAAGGCTGAATGGGCACATGACTATCTTCTTTTTGACTGATTTGCATCAAGCATCAACCCTTACCCTTTTCTTTGATTGGTTGAGAGGTCTTTCAACTGTTCAAATTAGGCTTTGGATGGGTTTGAGTACTGTGAGAAAGATACTGATGGAGAGATACTGATGGAAAGAGACAGAGTTGTTTGCTTTCACTGGCGTAACACATTTTCTCTGGACCCCCCTGCAAGGTCAGATTTTGTCCGTCCGCCCGTCCGTCTGTGCCCCCCCACCCCCCCTCCAATAATGTAATTGCTTGTTCGGTAATTCAAGTTGGAAATTCAAACATTGCAGATTGTAACATTTATTTTCGATGCAACAGCTGGAAAAACTAGCGGTCACTCAATCTTCTTGGTGTAACAGTTGGGATACTGGCACAATTCGGAGTACGCAGTGTCTTAATCTACACAGAAAGCCTGTCCAACCCTAGTGCAGCTTTAAGCAATCTGCTGGCTAGGGCCTTAGTAGGGATATGAATTGAATTGCTGTGTACCGTAGTTTAACTCTTTATTCTTCTTTCTGTCTATCAGCGCCCTGGGAGGTTCCTCTGCACTACACATCCCAGCATTCCCTAGTGGAGATTGCCTCATCGACTATGTACCTCAAGTGTGCCAGCTCCTCACCAACAAGGTATGACAGAATATTTGGTGACTGCATTCATGTCCACTGATAATGAAAAAAATATATTTGTGTTCAATCAGCTGGAGTAGAGGTGCTGCTTAAATTAAGCCAATGCTAAGTGTAGGTGAAAGGCATGTCATTATATATTTTATAAAAAATATATTTAGACTTTATTCAGATAAAGATGTAAAAAACTGTGACATTTCGGTCTGCAAAAAACTTGTATCTGGGTAGTGTTATTGATGAGATAAAATAATTTGCCCCCCTTTGAAACAAAATACCCCCCAGCTGATCATTGTCTGGCGCCGGCTCTAGTATACTGGCCGACCTCCACAGTCTGTCTCTGCGCTCGCTAGGAGTTGAGAGGGAGAGACGGAACATTGACACACTGCTATGTCACTACCTCCAGGGTGGGCCCCGTTATCCCCCCTCTCCCCCTTCTCCCTCACCTTGACACTGGCCAGCATACTCAGGGAGACGCTACCGCTGTCCCCAGTCAACCCCCAGCCAGCCCCTGGTTGTCCGAGCCAAGACCCAGCTACAGTGGTGTGAGATCCCCAGGGGCGCCTCACCTCATCTGGGGTCAATGAGGGCAGAGGTGTGTAGGGGGATGATATGGAGAATGGGTGTGGATTAACACTTTGACCAAACCATCCGTGCGTCCACGTGGGCCATCGTGTGCATGTTGATTTTGTCTATCCACACCAGATGTGATCTTGACACACAGGTTAAAAATAACAGAACCAACTATATTAATTTGGGGGCAGGTCAAAACACACATGAAACATTCATGGACATTTGTAGCTTGCTGTTGCTATAGTTTGTCCTGGGAGATAAACATTGGGTTGTCATTTTACCTTCAATGCATATGGTCCTTTCTTTAGCTGGATATTTGTAGAATTTTGACCCAGAGTCATACAAATCATGTGTTTCTCTACTCCGATGATTCATCCACAGATAAAAGGGGAAACCGAGTTAGTTTTTAGTTAGTTATCTTTGATTAATCTCTCCTCGTTCATCTTTCAAGCACCCACGTGGGTTTGTATGCTCATGAAAACCAGTGGGTAGATGGGAGAGGCGGGACTTGCTAATTTATATTTTAGCGTTTGGCAACACAGACGCTTGTTGACACGCGCAAGCAGTGTGGATGAAATGATTGAATAACATGTACGCGTTAATTTATTTTGCAACACTCGCGCATGCAACGTGGCCGGTTTGGTTTCCCTGTAAGGGAGAAGAAAAGAGCAGCACAACAGGGTGGAGAGAGAGAGAGAGAGAGGGGGAGGGAGGGAGGGAGGGAGGGAGAGGGAGAGGGAGAAAGATAAAGATGTTACTCCATCAAATAGGAGCAGAAAGGATGTGTGTAAGCACAATGAAAAGCATCCAACTGCTTTTCCCCACAAAACAGGATTTCAAGTATTAATTGAGTGTTTTGATGAATAGAAAATAAATAAAATCTGCATATCGATAGACTTGGAGCACGTGCTTCGTATAAAAAAAAGTGTACTCTGCACACTGCATTATACTCCCATGTGAATTGATTAGACAACGTTTAGACCACCTGGTCTTCATCAGGCTCCCATTGGACCGGATTTTGTTCAATTGTAATGTGAAGGAAGAAAGAACTGTATCTTTTACCTGGCCAGTCACAGACTAACTTGAACCAAAACCCAAACAACACATGATAATTTGTTGGATGAAATTCCATTCGGGGACAAGCTTTCACAATGAAGCATACTAAAGGTGGGCTGTACTACATGAATCAGTCAGACCTCGAAATGTAATAGCATGTTATTTAGGTCATTTTAGTCACCTATTCTTCCATTGAATCAGTATTTAGAGCACAACTGACATCTGTGTCACCTTTGCTGATGCAATGCTGAATATGTCTGAGCCATTCTTGTGAAACATACTGTAGAGATTGTGTTGATGGAAGAGCTGACACATTATGAAAAGCAAAACCTCAGGTTGTGTGTGTGTGTAAGAGAGAGAGAGAGAGAAATGAGGTGAATGAGGATTGTTCCACATTACTACAGGAAACACTTCCGGACACATTGCATAATGCCCTCCAGGGGCATGTACACATACTCACGCCGGAAGCGGAGGCGGCGCGTCCTGGGTGCAGTCACATTGAATACCTGCGGCATGATCTTACCTTTCTGTCATTGGTTAGACTACCACACAGCCAATAGGAATGCTGGATTCCCCGTTATCATGCAAGGGAGGGCAGATTTAGAGTGGGAGATCATCTCTCAGTATGTGTTTAAGTTCAGTGATCCATAATTCCGCACACACACCCTGCTGTGACTAAATAAACACACTCTCTTTACAGACAGTGTGCCCTTGCTGCTTTTCAGAGAGCTGTGACTACCTCCCACTTGGTCCTACGTAAAAAAAAAAAACGAATAGACTTGAATAGGGGTGTCTGAGTCACTGTGTGTAGTGTGTACTGCCCTACCAAGCAAAAAGGCATTAAGTGCTCATAGTGTGGAACTGAGAAAAATTGCTTCAAAGTTTTTTAATTGTCCAGCCAAATGAATTCTAGGGAGATCATTGGAAATGTAGTGAGCTGTTGCTTACTATGAGTAAATGTTTTATTCATGTTGACCCTGACCTCTGACATGACCTTTGACACTTAAACGGCAGTTAATGCCTTCTTTCTTGTCATGATATGTTACAAATTGCAGGTTAATACCAAAGCAAAGAGCAGTGTAATTACTGACAGTGTAACAGAGTTGAAACTGTGTCTTCCACTAAGATACCAGTTGCATTTACATGGAGATGTAGGTTCTGCGTCAGTCACATGACATACTGTGTTTTACAAGTATCCCATGTCTTGTTATAAGAATAATTGTGAAAAGCAGCACTGCAATTGTTTGAATTACATTAAATGATGACCTATCTTGTAATATATAATGATGTATTGGAGCATGATAGAAGTATGACGTAGGGTAATACTAATTATACCAAATTACCATGAGATTGCAAATTAAATTATTTGTATTTTCGTTTTATTTTATGACATTGACATAGACAATTTTGAATAAATAACAGCTTTAAGAATGAATTTTTAACATATTTACATGTTCATATTCATAAGAGGACACAAATGACATGTAGCTACAATTGATAAAATGCTGAATAGTTACATTTCATTTTTTAAGTATCATTTTCATTTCATTTTTAAGTAAAACTTATTCAGTGCTCTTCCATATCACTCCTCATCCTCAGCAATGCTGTTCACAGCCAAGGCATTCCAGAACTGCCTTTGATTTGCAGGCATCAGAGGACACAGCTTGGTGATGATGTCCATGTTCTTGGACTCTTATAGCCCTATTGCTTATTTAGATTGGATGGATGGACATTGACAGGAATAAAACCTAGTATTGACCTGGTTGTACAGTCCTAATGCACCTTCACATGGCAACTTTGATCCCCATAGATACTATAATCATATATGCCACAGGGATTGGTGGAAGTCATTTTGGCAAAACAGTTTCTTCCCGCATTCATGTAATGATGGCACAGAAGCAGACACATTGAGCACACATTTGGCATGCCAAAGATTGTTGTGCTAATTACATACGCCACCACCAAAGGTGATGGATATAATTTTGGATTTTAACTTTCCTGACCGGGACAATCACTCAATACTGGAATATAAAAGAAAACCAGAAACCCTGGACATGTGAGTAGATATATTATTAATGAGGTAGCAATGCTGTGTGTGTGCTCAACTGGAAAACGAGCGTGCGTGGCTTTTGACAATTCAGTAACGTTATGGGGTGCACGTCTGACTGACTGTCAGCTGGCTAGAGATCGTGTGTGTGGTGTAACATTACTGATTCAAATAACCCATGGAATGTCCGAATACAATTATAGGGATTATATTCTTTATAGGGATAATAGATTGAAGCTAGTATAAATTGCTGATCGCCTCTTATGGAAGCAGGTAGCACAAATCTATTGCTTCATGCTAATGCTAGCTAGGTAGGTTTTTACATTTTGTTAGGGGCGTGTCAGTTCTAGCTAGGTGGCTGTCACTGGCTAGAAATCGTGTGTGTGGTGTACTGATTCAAAGAAACCAGCAAATGAAATTAGAATATCATTCATTATAGGGTTAATAGATTGAAGTTAGTATCAATTGCAGATCTCCTCTTATGGGAGCCGGTAGCATTGTAAGTCTATGCTCGCTAGCTAGCTAGCTAGCTAATTAATTATGTTCTCAGATCTACTTAGCTAGCTAGTTCTTACCAGTGTCTGCGTGTCGGCGTTTCAGAGCACGTTCAACCATCATTTCCCCCGGGAATGCTGAGCCATGATGTTGTGTCCCTAGATTAGCAATGTATGTGTGTGTAGCTGTCAGTCAGTGTCATACAGGTTTGATTGTATCACTATCAGAATAAAATGATATGATACCAAGGTAAAAGGCAGTAACTGCAGCCAAGGGCAGGTTAAACCCAAGCTAAAAGGCAGTAAGTTATGTTACTGCCATTTACCTTGGTTTCACAGTAACTTTTTGCAGTTACTGCTAATATGACCCCCATTTTCTCCAAAACACAATACAATACAGGCAGGATACTTGTCCACATGCTTAAGCATGTATTTAATGTAGCAAAAATGACATTAACTCATTTTCGACCAAATGAGCAGTTACTGCCTTTTTGCTTGGTAGGGCAGTGTATCCCAGCAGGAGGTGTGTGTGCGTGCGTGCGTGCGTGTGAGTGTGCGCGTGGCAGAGTCACCCTCACCGAGACAAGGCTCCCAATGCATCAGGAAACACAGGCATTTATTCATAAACCCTTTGTGAATTAATACTATGTTTGTATTCATGAATAACCATAACCACAACCATAGGTGATATAATGAAATCACCAGCAACACATACATATTGTAATCCATGGTTAAGATTGGAATTGGAGGAAAACAAGCTTATGGTAAGGGGCAATTTCCCCCTCTGAGCATGCTTATATACTTTACTAATAACAACTAATTTTTGATGCAGAATACCCATGTGTTGACTGGACTATGCTATTTTTGCGATTGAGAGTTGGGGATTTAGGTCTGGGGCTATAAGGAGGTTAGAGTGCGGTCACCGCAGGCTCTCTCCGCTTCCCAGGACGGTCAATAGTCGACCGAGCCTGGAGTGTCCCTGCTAGGCACACACCAGCAACCGCAACTCAGAGCTACCAACACACTACAACAGTCTGGTTTGTGTGTGTGTGGGATGGTGGGTGGGTGGGTGGGTGCGCTTCATGCCTATCAGAGTCAGTAAGGAGTCATCAGTTTGGTGACTGACCCCAAGTGTAAACGCATTCTCCGATATGCTTTGAGTTTGACAGAGTTTCGATAAGTGCAGTCATTAAAAACCCTGCCGTATTAAGTTGAAGAGTATCGATTGATGCTTTAATGATATGGTCTCTCGTCTTCTTGAGAGGCCGGATACATAAATTATCAGAATAGATTTTTGCATCAAAGCAGCAAAATCCATGTGTACCAACCAGGGTTAACCGGGGTGAATTTGAACTCAAGTCACTCAATTGAGGAAGCGATCTGTGTCTATTTTGTCAACATTTTGGTGCACAAAATCAAATATTAAGGAAGTCTCAAGCTTTTGCTCACCTGAGGTAGAGTATCTCATGATAAGCTGTAGACCACATTATTTACCAAGAGAGTTTTCATCTATATTTTTCGTAACTGTCTATTTACCACCACAAACCGATACTGGCACTAAGACCGCACTCAACAAGCTGTATAAAGCCATAAGCAAACAAGAAAATGCTCATCCAGAGGTGGCGCTCCTAGTGTCCGGGGACTTTAATGCAGGGAAACAACTTAAATCCATTTTACCTAATTTCTACAAGCATGTTACATGTGTGACAAGAGGGGAAAAAAACTCTAGACCACCTTTACTCCACATACAGAGACACGTCAAAGCTCTCCCTCGCCCTCCATTTGGCAAATCTGACCATAATTCTATCCTCCTGATTCCTGCTTACAAGCAAAAACTAAAGCAGGAAGTACCAGTGACTGGCTCAATAGGGAAATGGTCAGATGACGCAGATGCTAAGCTACAGGACTGTTTTGCTAGCACAGACTGGAATATGTTCCGGGACTCATCCGATGGCATTGAGTATACCACATCAGTCACCGGCTTCATCAATAAGTGCATCGATGACGTTGTCCCCACAGTGACCGTATGTACATACCCCAACCAGAAGCCATGGATTATAGGCAACATCCGCAGTGAGCTAAAGGGTAGAGCTGCCGCTTTCAAGGAGCGGGACTCTAACCCGGATGCTTATAAGAAATCCCGCCATGCCCTCAGACGAACCATCAAACAGGCAAAGCATAAATACAGGACTAAGATTGAATCCTACCTAACAGGCCACAACGCTCGTCGGATGTAGCAGGGCTTGCAAACTACTACGGACTACAAAGGGAAGCCCTGCCGCGAGCTGCCCAGTAACACAAGCCTACCAAATGAGCTAAATGACTTCTATGCGCGCTTCGAGGAGAGCACCAGCTGTTCCGGATGACTGTGTGATCACGGTCGCCGTAGCCGATGTGAGTAAGACCTTTAAACAGGTCAACATTCACAAGGCCGCAGGGCCAGACGGATTACCAGGACGTGTACTCCGAGCATGCGCTGACCAACTGGCAAGTGAGTTCACTGACATTTTCAACCTGACCCTGGCCGAGTCTGCAATACCTACATGTTTCAAGCAGACCACCATAGTCCCTGTGCCCAAGAACACCAAGGTAACCTGCCTAAATGACTACCGACCCATAGCACTCACGTCTGTAGCCATGAAGTGCTTTGAAAGGCTGGTCATGGCTCACATCAACACCATCATCCCAGAAACCCTAGACTCACTCCAATTTGCATACCGCCCCAACAGATCCACAGTTGATGCAATCTCTATTGCACTCAACAATGCCCTTTCCCACCTGGACAAAAGGAACACCTACGTGAGAATGCTGTTCATTGACTACAGCTCAGCGTTCAACACCATAGTGCCCTCAAAGCTCATCACTAAGCTAAGGACCCTGGGACTAAACACTTCCCTCTGCAACTGGATCCTGGACTTCCTGACGGGCCGCCCCCAGGTGGTAAGAGTAGACAACAACACATCTGCCACGCTGATCCTCAACACGGGGGCCCCTCAGGGGTGCATGCTTAGTCCCCTCCTGTACTCCCTGTTCACCCATGACTGCGTGGCCAAGCACGACTCCAACACCATCATTAAGTTTGCCAACGACACAACGGTGGTAGGCCTGATCACCGACAACGATGAGACAGCCTATAGGGAGGAGGTCAGAGACCTGGAAGTGTGGTGCCAGGACAACAACCTCTCCCTCAACGTGATCAAGACAAAGGAAATTATCTTGGACTACAGGAAATGGAGGGCTGAGCACGCCCCCATTCTCATCGACGGGGCTGTAGTGGAGCAGGTTGAGAGCTTCAAGTTCCTTGGTGTCCACCTCACCAACAAACTATCATGGTCCAAACACACCAAGACAGTCGTGAAGAGGGCACAACAACGTCTATTTCCCCTCAGGAGACTGAAAAGATTTGGCATGGGTCCTCAGATCCTCAAAAGGTTCTACATCTGCACTATCGAGAGCATCCTGACTGGTTGCATCACCGCCTGGTATGGCAACTGCTCGGCCTCCAACCTCAAGGCGCTACAGAGGGTAGTGCGTACTACCCAGTACATCACTGGGTTCAAGCTCACGGCCATCCAGGACCTCTATACCAGGCGATGTCAGAGGAAGGCCTTAAAAATTGTCAAAGACTCCAGCCACCCTACTCATAGACTGTTCTCTCTGCTACCGCATGGCAAGCGGTACCGGAGCGCCAAGTCTAGGTCCAAAAGGGTTCTGAACAACTTGTACCCCTAAGCAATAAGACTTCTGAACATCTAATCAAATCGCTACCCGGACTATTTGCATTGACCCCCCACTGCTACTCGCTATTATCTATTATCTATGCATAGTCACTTTACACCTACCTACATGTACATATTACCTAAATTACCTCGACTAAGCTGTACCCGCGCGATTCGGTACCGGTACCCCCTGTATATAGCCTCGTTATTCTTATTTTATTGTTGCTGTTTTATTTTTTACTTTAGTTTATTTCGTAATTTGTAAAAAAATAAAATGGTGCTAATTTTTCTTAACTGCATTGTTGGTTAAGGGCTTGCAAGTAAGCTTTTCACGGTATTCGGCGCATGTGCCAAATACAATTTGATTTGATTAGAAATTAAATTGCTTTTTATTTTCCGTTTATTAGTTTGGCTTTTCAGGATGCCAACCCAAAAAGTAACCTTTTACTATTGTACTGTTCTGTTTCAGATGGTATTTGCTGGTAACTGGTAATCACTTAGGTATTTCTCTCCCACTCTCTCTTTTGTGCTCCCTCCCTGTTCTCAGGTGCAGTATGTCATTCAAGGCTACCACAAGAGGAGAGAGTACATTGCTGCCTTTCTCAGTCACTTTGGAATGTGAGTCTGGTGTCATGTGTGTGTGTGTTTGTGTGTGTGTATGCGAGAAGAGAGCGAAGGGCAAGGAAACGTGTGTGTGTTTGTGGGAGCAAGCACATCTGTAACATTGTATTTGATTATTATGGTGCATGTGGGCACATTACAGTGTCTATGTAAAAAAGGTTTGCCAATGTGTGTGTGCTTTATGCAGGGGGGTGGTGGAGTACGATGCAGAAGGATTCACCAAGCTCACTCTTCTCCTCATGTGGAAAGACTTCTGTTTCCTTGAGTTACACACACACAAGCACACACACGCACACCTCTTCCTTTCTTTCTCACTATCTCTCCCTCCCCCAACTCTCTTTTTCTCCCTTTCTCTATCTCTCTCTCGCCCTCTCTCCCCTCTCCTCCTCCAGTGGACCTCCCTCTGTACTTCCCGCGGGACCAGCCCACCCTGACATTCCAGTCTGTGTACCACTTCACCAACAGTGGGCAGCTCTACTGGCAGGTGCAAAAGTCCTACCCTTACAGCCCGCGATGGGATGGCAACGAGATGGCCAAAAGAGCCAAGTAAGGCAAGACACTATACCGGACAGATGTAGGGTGAAGTTGCCCCTAGATGCTGATCTTGAATCAGTTTTGAATCAGGTTAGGATTGGGGGAGGGGGAGGGGAAGCTGATCCTAGATCTGTACCTCGGGGAAACATCACCCGTAGCATACTGGACAACAATGACTATTTGACCCACTATGCTGAACAAAAATGACAATTTGAGCTACTATACCGTACAATAATTACTTATAATTAAGCAATAAAGCCAGAGGGGGTGTGGTATATGGCCAATATGCCACGGCTAAGGGCTGTTCTTATGCACGACGCAACGCAGAGTGCTAGGTTACCAACATAATTAGAGCAGTAAAAATAAATGTTTTGTCATACCCATGGTATACGGTCTGATATACCACGGCTTCCAACCAATCAGCATTCAGGGCTTGAACCCCCTAGTTTATAATTACCCATAATACAGGATGATAATGATTCAAATCTAAGTTATTTGTTTTAAGTCATGTAATCTAATCGACTAGCTAGCACAAAACTAGAACCTGCTGCCATCTTTGGACCAGGTCTCCCTTGCAAAATAGATTTTATCTCAATTAAACTTATCTGGATTTATAATGGTATCATGGAAAGCAAAAAAATCCCTGTCATACTAATAATCACAATAAAAGTATGGACACCGAATCATCGAAAATACATATCACTACTCACACTATGGTGAAGATTTATATGGCAAAAATATGTGAGATGATTTATAGATGTATGGCTCTCCAAAATTGTATTTACTTTACCATTTTTCTATTTAACAAGAACCTGTTGACCCTGTTTGTGAATGATTTGGCTTTATCTCTAGCTTTGACCATGTTTACTTAGCACAGCAAAGGAGTGCTTAACTGTAACAGCTGAGTTTTTGTCCTAAAGTTGATAGTTAGATGGAATTTTCTTTGTATACATCGCTGGTCTCCAAGGAAAGACAGTATCCTATCTCTGTTTTGCTGACAACTAGTTTTCAGTCTTAGTTTGGCACTGTGGAGGGCCCAAAATATGCAAACATTCCAAATGCCTGGGATTCCAACCTATCAGCTACTGCTTTAGAACTGAGAAAAGTGTATATTCTCGGCTACCTGACCTGGAGTGAACCTCGCCCTTGAAAACACACACGCACGCACGCACACACACACACACTCGTATCAAAAAACACTGTTTGGGATTGTTGACAGCTCTAAGTGAATGTACCTTGTCTTTCCATTGTATTTTTTGTCTTGGTTTTTCTTTTAGTTTTACTTTCTTGCTTGCTTGCTCTTCACAATTTGTCATTTCCTGTTAGGAACATTGAACTTTGAGATAATCAGAAGTAGCCATCTGTCACTGTCTCGATTTCACAGTGGTAAGTTGTTTAGATTATACTCAGCATACCAGGAGAGAACATTCTACTGCTGAAAGCACAAATTGGTGCTGTGCTTTTATGGTCAGATAAGAACTGTAGTACTCCCAGTAAATCTGTCTGTCTAAATTACTTTTAATTGGTATCTTTCTTTCTCTCTCACACTCTCTCTCTCTCTCTCCACAGAGCATACTTCAAGAGCTTCATTCCTCAATTTCAGGAAGGGGCCTTTGCCACTGGGAAACTCTAGGAGTGTAGTCTGTGTGTGTGTGTGTGTGTGTGTGTGTGTGTGTGTGTGTGTGTGTGTGTGTGTGTGTGTGTGTGTGTGTGTGTGTGTGTGTGTGTGTGTGGTGTGTGTGTGTGTGTGTGTGTGTGTGTGTGTGTGTGTGTGTGTGTGTGTGTGTGTGTGTGTGTGTGTGTGTGTGTGTGTGTGTGTGTGTGTGTGTGTGTGTGTGTGTGTGTGTGTGTGTGTGTGTGTGTGTGTGTGTGTGTGTGTGTGTGTGTGTGTGTGTGTGTGTGTGTGTGTGTGTGTGTGTGTGTGTGTGTGTGTGTGTGTGTGTGTGTGTGTGTGTGTGTGTGTGAATGCGCTGCACATAAATTACAATGTACACTGTACAGGAACTCTCTGTAACTCCACGTTGAGCTGAACTGTCTGTGTTTCCATTTTATTTAGTTGTTTTTTCACCTTTCTTAAAAGTAGAGAGAGAAAAATGCTGAAATGCTGTTGCTAAAAGGGTTAGGGTTAGTAGTTCAGAACCACTTGTGAAGTCAACAGACAGATGTTGGGCTTGCCCAGCCAAGGTGCTACAACCTCAAACAAGACGTCACTTCTGATCTTCTGATTGGTTGTAAGAAAACTGGAAAAGGTCCCTGAACCCTAAACTCTTTGACTGGAGCTTGATGCAATACGGTCATCTTCTGGAAACACCTTCAGCGGTTCATCTTGATTCATATAATACAGTCTCACTAGTGGTACCATTACTTTATCATTCTACAGTCGACTTAATCTTTGCCTGGAGAGTATTCCTCATTACTATGTACATTGGAGAATACTGTATGTGCCATTTTTCCTCTGTAAAAACCTGTGATCATATGTTATTCTCTTACTCCATGACAGTATGTTACTGAATGTTTTCTGTTATATGTTCATTTCACCACCCTCACAATCACTCATATTCCCAATAAACCCTGAAATCCTATACTGTCCGGAAAGACATTCTTTATTGTTTCATTATTATTGCGTGTCACTAAGCCACGGATGCACTGTGATTCAATTCTGTCCTGTGCTAAATGTAGCTGTGTTTGAAAGAGAGGGAGAGAGAAACAGGGAAGGAGGGATGGATGGTGTGTGAGAGAGAGCGAGACTAACAGGGAGGGTAGGGAGGGAGGGATGGTCTGTGTGAGGGAGGAAGGGTGAGAGAGAGAGAGAGGGAGGGAGTGTGTGTGCATGGTTGTTTTCATCATTAAATCTTAGGGGGTCATTGTTAGGGGTCTTTCCTGGCCCGGGGGCCAGCCCTTTGCTATATTTATTGTTGGTAATGCAGCAACTGTCAAGTCTAATTGGGAACTATACGGTGAATGTATCTAAGGCATTTAATAGCATTAAGTCTCTTAATAAAAAATTATTAAATGCAAGCTTATTTTTGGCTTTTTCTACTGCGTTCCATGTTTCCCGCGGTAACCTTTGCCGACCTGCTTTCAAATCGTCTCTCTCGTCAGCCCGGGGACGAACTGCTCAAATTTTTTTGAGGAGTGGAAGGAGGGTGTGCAGAGGAAGGAGGGAAGGATATGGGGTAACAGCCTCTCTAACGAAGGCTTCTCGAGGACAGTTTTTATTTCACCGTGAACTAATCACTTCACGTTCAAAATTCATTTTGTTTTCCTTTAATTGATTTTGGCTTAGCATATCCTCTGGATCCTAACTTTTTTTTATCAGCTTTAAATCAATTTATAATATGGATTATGCAATAAATGAATATAGATTGGAGTGAGCTGTGAGGAATCTACAGACGCTAACATTGTCGACGATTCATAGAAATCTGTTTTAAGTTTGGTGCAATACCTAAGGCCTTGAAGGTGATACACTTGCTCGTAAACAACTCTTTCAATTTAAACTATGGTACAGGTGTTATATCACGTAATCCACATGGAACTCACCTCTCACTTTAAACCTCTTAATAGGGATACGGTCTTCGTAATGATCTTACGAAGGTTGCTGCTCAAGGTACCTTTTGAAGCTGTGTTTCTCACCCCCTGACTCACGGCACAGAGGTCTCCTGCCTGCCAACTCTGTTGCTAATACTTCAAATCCACTAATCCAGCCTTATTTAGGAGATTGCAATGGCAGTCGGCCGGAATCATTAAAGGTAGGAATAATTACCCGGAGATCTCTGGAGAGAGATGATTAAAATGATGCTCGGCATTGCTTTATCGCTCAAAGCCAGTTTAACCTTTGCTGAACCGTGAAATGGTTTTGCTAATGATTGTCGGCCATTTTGGTTTTGGAGAAGGGGTTTGGTGCACAGTTAAACAAGCCAAAACCTCTTTGCCTGATTGTAATGAAGATGTTTGTTATGTTCTTTGATTACGTCATCGTATATTGCAAGAGGGCTCAGTCAGGGTTGGCCTTTGTGGCCCCTGTCGGTTGCTGAGGGCTCCCAACCAAAGCTGAAGCCTCACCTACCTCACACTATTTCTACTTCCTCAAGCTCCTGGCATGTTTTGCTCAGCAAGTCTTTCCAACTCAACTCAAGGGAGGTGGCTAGCTAGCAGTAGCGGTGCGTGGGTAAAATCACAGGGGAAGCCAATCCAGAAAAAAAAGCCATATTACATCCTACTGTATGTGTTGTGATAATTGCGTTGTTAGCTCTATAACCTGTTTGTTCACGTCTTAACACCGTGATATATAGGCCTAAGGCCGAGACAATAAGAATAATAAATTCAACCACACATTTGTTTCATTAGAAAACCAGAGAGCAACACCTGTCCGGTGAAGTCCACAAAACATATTGCATGTAATTAACAGTTGCAAGACCTACAGCATGGTCAAGCAAGGTAATGTTTTAGACATTTTCGGACTACTAAACAACTATTGATTTAGAACCACGGAGACTTACCGCAAGTGGCAAAGAAAACAGGAGCTGCCTCCACTATTCCAGCACCATTTCAACTTCAACATTTCAACATCATCTAATCACCTGTGCTTAGTCTAATACAGTGACAATTAAAAGATACCAAAAACTATTTAGTCCAATCAACGTAAGCTAAATATGATGTGGGTGTCCATGGTACTGATTTCTGTGTGTGCAAGTAGAAAAAACATGTTGACTCAACCAACTTGTAAAGAAACGCCAATGCCATCCTCCTCTTTCATGTTGCCTAAACAGCAGTACATGCTTTTAGTTTTTGTTGTACTAGGTTACCTGGCTAAAATACTTGCTCGCTAGCCTAACTTCCTTTCATGGTCCTCTGTAGCTCAATTGGTAGAGCATGGCGCTTGTAACGCCAGGGTAGTGGGTTCGATCCCCGGGACCACCCAAACGTAAAAAAGTATGCACGCATGACTGTAAGTCGCTTTGGATAAAAGCGTCTGCTAAATGGCATATTATTATTATTATTATACACCAGGCCAGCTAGTTAACATTAGCATACAACATCTAACTACATGTTGAACTTCCATCCTCTCAGGCCAGGGGCACAATGTATGAATTTATGGTTGGATCAGAATTGCCATTATAATCATTTGCCAGTACGGAGAATTAAGTAAAACCCCAAGTCCAAATCCCTATACCCATCCATGGCTAATTAAGGAAAGGGCCAATTTTTTGCAAGCTAGCTAGCCACTGGGTGACAACAGCACAACGAGATATAACAATTAAAAAATATATCTATCAATAATGAAGTTTGGCTTGTGATGGGATTGGTCTGAAGCCAAATCCAAACTGGCTTCCCTTCACACATTTTTTGGGTGCGCCAGGACCAGTCACAGCTGAGCTCACTCAGTTTAGCTCAACGCTGATTGGCTATTATTTTATTTTAAAAAATTGCAAGGGATGCCAAATGCTCGCTGGCTTCCATTGTATTCAATGCTACGGGTGGCAACAATGTCATACTCTTTCTGACCAGACAGCATCAGATAGATACTCTACACATACTAAGACAGAGGGGCGCTGCTTTGTTCGCTTGGATGCTTTCTCCGGTGAGATACATTCAGCCGCTTGGAAATTGAAGGAAATGTATGAAACACAGAGAGACGAAAGATACATTATTTTTCTGGGGTAAATATTTTGGGGAAGCCTGGCTTCCCTTGGCATCCATGAATACACATAACTGCTAGCTAGCTTTATCAACATTAGACTGACATTCTGTCCTGTTTGCGGTTAGCTTCAAGGCAGCCATGGATTTGCCAGTCTCAGCTAATGACGGGTGTGTGAAACAGGATCACTTAAGCTCAGTAGCACCTTCCCTAGGTGATAACCCGGGGCTAGTTTTTAGCATCACACACACAGAAGAAGTAATTCGAAGAACTCAAAACACTTTCGAGAGCAGAGACTGAGGCCAAGAAAGTCAAAAGCTCCCCACTTTTAACAAGCTGGAGAACTAATACAGGGGTTTCAGCGATAGGCAACGTTTGGTATGCAGCGGGGTTGTTGATGCAAGCCATGTTTAAGATGATGGAGCTGAGAGGCTTAGCTAATTTGGGAAGGAGTGAGGAGAGTGGGGGGATTTGCCTTTTGTTGCAGCCTGTTTGATCTGGGGGAATTAAACAAATAAAAAAATAGCCTAGAGATGTCGTGGAATTGAGAGAATTACTAGTTCGGGCCTCTCTTTTTTTTCATCCCAAAGTTGCAGGGATATTCTAATGCACTCACTGTCAAAGCAGCAGATTTTTCACTCTCGTATAGATAACAACGGGATCTCGTTAAACACTGATTGTTAATAGCTAATTACTCTCATCCTAGCTGAAACATGAGAAGCCAGGAGAGCGTGGCTAAGCCGATCAAAGGACTCCTCGCTCCAGAGCTTGTAGGTTTTCCATTTTTGTCACATTGTTTGGGCGTTTTGGATGGGTTGGATGGCTTTTGACGAGATGAAGGCAGATATTTTAGATTTTTTATACCCTGTCTTCCTCTAGGGTACAATCACAAATATTTGATTTAAACATGTCGTGGATTTACCAAAGCACATCCCTCAGGTGGTTTGTCTCTGGAATGCAGCTTTTGGTTCTCTGATACTTAGCAGGGAATTTGG